CTTTACACTTACACGTTGGCGTAAGAGGCTGTCCAAATAACAGCCGGCAGACTCGAAGATGATGAATACAGGATTCATCCGTCCACGCGGGACGGTCAGTGATCCGCGAGCCAAGGCGATATTTCACGCTGACTTATCGCCACTTCGCCGGGAAAACGATATCGTTCTTAGACGTCCTCCTAAGCGTGTATAATTTCGCACGCGAGAACGATTTATCACTTTTCCGCGGTACCACGATGGATGAAGCGACGGTATATTTACCTCTAATCTGTTTCTACTTCGGTGAGGAAGCTCTTTCTCCTCTTTTTTTCAGAATGTGACAAACGTATATCATCAACGTCCAACACTGTCCAACTTTCTTCTGATTATAAATTAATTATTTAGTTTCCAATATTCCAAAATAGTTTTATAATTCGATCATAAAATATAAATCTCAGAATCAATTAAAAGTAGCTACTTTTAAAAGTCGCTACTCGGAGTAAAGCTTGAAGAACACGAGCACGCTATTTTCGAAATTTTTATCCTATTTCCAATTAAATATTAAAACAATACAACTATATTTGATTCGTCTAACGATTGAAATCGCATTATCTATCGATACACGATATATCTCGTCGAGTGTTAAACACCGGAAATGTTGTACAACAAGAGCTAAACATCTGCTTAGTAGAAAAACTGTGTTTGTGGAAACGATACTTTCTAATCCGTTTCCTACAATACGACCACCACAATTAACTTTAGCTAATTAAATACTTATCGTTAAATTTAAAATTAGCTTTTGCAGAAATTTGTAGCAACGCTTCATCGTCGCGCAATTTACACGATTTACGTGTTACGTGCAGGTCTTATGTTATAAGTTACATCTAATTGCATCTGCCATCGAGCCGTGTATTCAGGTGCGAAGAGCGTGGAAACTCCCTCCGAAGCCGGGAAACGACGTCTGTCACGCGGTCTCCACGATTGCGAGACTGATCCCCGTAACAGCAATGGCAAAAGATTGCGAATTTGATTCTCCCAGTTCTCATGAAAGTGCGAAGGATACGATCCTTCTTGTAATACGAGCGCTAACTACATACAGCTCTTCGAGAGCAGTCCGCTCATGAGCAATAACGTAACTGTTGAAGAGTGAAAGTGGTATCCGTAAAGTGGGACGCCACGGGAATAGCGCTCGCTTTTATAATTAATAAACAAAGCCTACCAACAATTCTCATCGTCCATGCGACTTTGCATTCAATGCGACATTTTTTTATGAGACCTTGTCGAGCGCCTGTTATCCATCTCCGGTCGATGATCGAGACCTTTCTCACGCTCGCTTTTTATTCAGGAATCTTGCGCGACGGTTACGGAAAATAACGATCCAATTATGAAAATTCTTTATTTAAGTCATAGTTGTTAGAAATTAATAAAACGCTTCAGGACGCCGTTTTTTAAATATTTGTATGCATTCTGCTTGTAAAAAAAATTCAAATCGTTTTACATGTTAAAAAGTGTATTTTTTCAACAGCAAATAAGACAATTGACCAGCCAAATTCGAGCAAATAAGGAAATATACAAAACAAATTAGTCATATAATATTTTAAAATGTTTTTGATAAACAAATGATTTTATTATAGATTATTTAAAAATGTTATTTATTTTGGTTATTTATATATTATTGTTATCTGTTCTCTTTTCTAATTTTATCGCGATACATTATATATTATATATTAAAACGTTGATTACGTTTTATTATCTTCTTCTATTTTATATGTTCTACGGTTTTTTCAATTTTATTATATTGATGCTAATAAAGACTACATTAAGTTCGAAACATTAAAAAAAAACATCTTAAAATATTATCTCAAACGATATAAATGATCATTATGAAATAAAAAAATGTTTTCAGATAATTCAAAAAGAATTCTATAGAAATGTACATTTTAACTTCTGACATGTCAAATCAAAATTCTTTTTCTTATTTGTAATAAGTTTGAAGAGAGTCGCCGAATCCACGAATAGTACATAATAGATGGACGTGGTTGAGTTCCATTTCTCGTAACTAAAAATCATACGATATAGAATAAAAGGCTATACTACATTTATAAGATTTTTTAATCACGTTCTAATGTGAAGTAATGATGAAGTGAGCCCAGAGATCGCATTCTTGATAATGCTTTGAAGATAAACCTGTAAAATTGGTCCTTGGGAAAAATAAAGTTGATAGTACATACAATTTCATTTAGTTCTGTGTAACAATTAATTTAGAGACATAATATTTCTCTGAAAGATATATTAGCTATTCGTTAGATATACCATCTAATAACTATTTCGATTTCATTGCGAATTCTTATATGTTTATAAATATTATAAAAAGATTTCTTTTTTTCTGTATTTGAGAAAGAACTTAGAACTGACATAAAAAATGAAATTTTGTGAAACTCTTATAAATATTTTCAGAAATTAAGATCAGAAAGATGAGATGAGAGAATAATACATTTCATAATTTGGGGATTTAAAATAAATTATTTTTTGAATTTTCTATGCTATGTAACTATGTAATTTATCTCATATATGTATATGTCTTCACTTATTCGCTTGAATTTGGTCTGCCAATTCTCTCTTTGCTGCTACAAAACAACGAGCTTACAATTTTATTTACTTTTTACTTAAATATATTTTTTCTTAATAAGTTTCAGAACAGATTTCGAACGAAAAGCAAGAAATAATTAGACGAATAATAATTACAAGAATTACCTTGAAAATAATAGCAGCATTAAATTATCTTATAAATATTATTTTTAATTTTATATTGTGATTCAATCATTTATTTATTTCTGATTATTCATAGTTTCTTTCATTTCTGCGTTCAAGTAGTGTGTGTGTGTTTCATTTTCAATGAACTGATCATCAGATCTCCAGGCTGCTGATCTGCAGTGACCCAATTCATAAATGTGGAAAATTCTCACTCGTGTTTTCCAGCGTGAGAAAAATATTTCATAAGCTACAAGAGAGTTGCATGTGCATTAATCCGTATCTTAACTAATTAAGAAACAGAACCGACCGAAACCAACACGTGATATAATATATCGTAATTTACGCGGTGACATTTATTTTCAAAGAGATTTATAGGACAATAAACGTTAGTGTGATTTTTTTTTAAATTGGAATTTAAAATGCCAGCTTCTCCATACGTCTCAAGGAGAAGGCTTTTAACAGTCGATGTCCGGGTGTTCGCCGGGACATCGACTGTATAAGCGGAAAACTGCATAACTGCGTTATATAATTACATACTGCGGGCCGTATCAGACGAAAAATTGCCTGTAATTGATGTTACGCCCGATGCACTTTCTATTTCAGGTGCAGCGGATTGGCACTTCGCGCCCGCCGCAATCGGCGCCGAGAGTCTCTTCAGATCGAGAAAAAAGAAAAAGAAAAGGGAAAGAAAAGAAAATCGCTTTCCATTATCTTCTCCAATCGATTAAAAATGTAAGATGTAGCAATTTTCCGAGTGCCGCGGCGTTATCACGGTCAATTTAATAAATCATAAAGAAGCGTGAAGAATAATAAGCATTAACTTTCTCCTCCTGACTAAATCACTCGCGTCACCACTGACGTGTTTATATTAGCAAGGGCCCCGGCTCGTGCGAGTCGTCACAAATGGCTGTACGTTCGTTACTTTTTATGAGATTGTAATAAATTGTAGGTGCCCGCGTATTGGAAAATTTGTAAATACTAACGCAAAATTCATGCTATACTTTCCATTTCATGTGCGATAAATCAGCCATCTTTCATATGTCCGTGAGAGTGTGCGTGGCGCACGCACATTCGACTTTCTAATAAATAATTTCCGATAATAATAGATCAAAAAGATAGGAGATATATATGGGCGATATATA